ACCCCAAAAAAAAAAAAAAAAAAAAAAAAAAGATATGTTCCATTTCTTAAAGTAAGGCTATGGTTGATTCTATACTTTTACAATTGTGAAAGTCTTTTTAAATTTTTAATTTTAAAAATATGGGGTACAATTTCAGGCTTAGTTATACAAGTGTTCATTATGCAGGCACCATTGTTGATGAGGTGTACCTCCCCTCCCCTAGCAGTTTCCCACAACTGCCAATCCCACCCCCCAACCCTCCCTCCCCCTGGGATTTTCCACTACTGCTAATCCCTTTCTTATAGTAGTAAGATAATTCTTTCATTGAAGTCTTTTTTTTTTCAACTCTGGTTCTGGATCTGAGTCTTTTATCAAAACCATAAGTAATTCAAAAAAGATAAACTAATAGATTGATACCTTCTTTATATAGATCTCCTAGCTGCTCACAGGACACAACCATTTAGAGGCTGTTGTCTCCACTCACTTTTCCTCCCTCTGACCTCCTGAGGCCAACAATTCTGCCATCATTTTGGGTTACAGTGTAGGGCAAAATGTGATTGTCTGTCCCAAGGAGCTAGATGGTATTGTCATGGGACAATGGGAGAGGCTATCTGCCTAAATGGAACAGTTAATATATGCAAGTGCACAGCAGAGAACCAGCTTTGGGGAAAGCCAGAGAGAAGATTGCAGAGCCACTGAAGGTGTGTAAGAGGTGTGCCACAATGGGAGTAGTTTAGCTAGTGGGTTCTATAAAGATGGGAACAGCAGTCCAGGCGCAGTGGCTCACACCTGTAACCCCAGCACTTTGGGAGGCAGAAGCGAGAGGATTACCTGAGCTCAAAGGTTTGAGACAAGCCTGAGCAAAATGGCGAGACCTCATCTCTACAATAAATCAAAAAAATCAGCCAGGCATGGTGATGCATGCCTGTGTTTCCAGCTACATGGAAGGCTGAGGCAGAAGGATCACCTGAGCCCAGCAGGTTGAGGCTGTGATGGCCATGATTGTACCACTACACTCCAGCCTGGGTGACAGAGTGAGATTCTGACTCAAAAAAAAGATTAACTGGGTATGGTGGCATGCCCCTGTGGTTCCAGCTACTTGGAATGCTGAGACAGAAAGATCGCCTGAGCCTAGCAGGTCAAGGCTGCAGTGGCCATGATCATGCCACTACACTCCAGCCTGGGTGACAAAGTGAGACTGACTCAAACAAAAAAAAAAAACAAAAAGAGCCGGGCTCAGTGGCTCAGCCTGTAATCCCCACACCTTTGGGAGGCTGAGGTGAGTGGATTGCCTGAGCCCGCGGGTTCGAGACCCACCTGGGCAACTTGGAGAGACCTCATCTCTACAATAAATAAAAAAAAAATGAGCCGAGCGTGGTAGCGCGCACCTGTAGTTCCAGCTACTTGGAAGGCTGAGGCAGAAGGATCACTGGAGCCCAGCAGGCTGAGGCTGCGGTGGCTGGGAGCGGCCACTGCACTCAGTCTGGGCGACAAAGTGAGACTCCAACTCAAAAAAAACAAAAAGGTATCCAGTCTCAAGATCTGAGTTGTTCATATGGAGTTGATAATTGAAGACATGAGAATCATTTTTCAAGTAATCAACATTTTTAGAAATTTAAAACCTTGGGAAGAAAGACTTAAGTCAAATCCTGAATTTCAAATGACTTCTCCATGGTAAAGCTATGTTCACAGGCTTCCATTCTCTCCCACACTCAAACCCTAATGCGGGGCTTATTCAGAGCAAGCCAGATGGAGCAGAATGCTGGGGAAGAGGATACCACATTGCTGAGGGCAGAATCCGGGGCTCTATCTCAGAGTTGGGAGACAGCAGCTAGAGAACAGTACTGGGGAGTGCTATGGCATTACATATGGTATACATTCCAAAAATGTATTCAGCAAGTGTCTCCCAACCCATATGCTCTTCTCTTGCACTGTAGTTTTTATGCACCTCCCAATCAGAGGTGGGATCTCTATTCCCTTCCTCTGAATCTGGCACTATGGCAGAAGTGATGTTATGTGATTTCTGAGACTAGCTCATTAAAGGATATACAGGACCAGGTGCAGCGGCTCACTTCTATAATCCCAGCACTTTGGGAGGCCAAGGTGAGAGGACTGTCTGAGCCCAGGGGTTCAAAACCAGCCCAGGCAACTTGGCAAGACCCCATCTCTACAATAAAAGAGTAGCCAAGCGTGGTGGCATGTGCCTGTAGTTCCAGCTACTTGGAAGACTGAGGTGGAAGGATCACCTGAGCCCAGCAGGTCGAGGCTGCAGTGGCTCTAAGTGTGCCACTGCACTCCAGCCTGGACAACAGAGTGAGACTCCAACTCAAAAAAAAAAAAAAGCTATATACCTTCTGCTCAGTGCTCTTGACTTACTCAACCTTTGGAGCACAAGCCTCCATGTGAGAAGTCCAGGGTCACATTGATGGGCCATGTATAGGTGTTCTGGCCAAGAACCAGAGGTCCCAACCGGTACCAGCATCACCCACAGAGCATGAATGATGATGCCAACAAATGATTCCTGGCCCCAGCCATCAAGTCACCCCAGCCTTTAAGTCTTCCCAACTGACACCCCAGACATCACTGAGCAGAGACAAGTCATCCCCGTTGTGTCCTTTCTGAATTCCTGATCCACACAATCCACGAATATAACAGCAGTTTTAAGCCACAGATTTGGAGTAATTTGTTATACAGCAATAGAGAACTAGAATAAATACTGCTGGGTGTGGTGCCTCACGCCTGTACCCTAGCACTATGCATGGCAGAGATGAGAGGATTGCCGGAGCTCAAGGGTTCAAGACTTGCCTGGGAAACTTGGCAAGATCTCATCTCTACAATAAATCAAAAAAATTAGCCAGGCATAGTGGCACACACCTGTAGTTCCCAGCTACTTGGAAGACTGAGGTAGAAGGCTCACTTCTGGGCAACAGAGTTAGACTCCTATTCAAAAAAATAAAAACCGACAATCTTAGAAGGAACTTTTTGGCTCTTTTGGAATCTAATCCAGCTTTCCAAAGGGATAATTGAGGCCTAGGTGGGGAAGAGACTGACAGCCTGATAGGAGATAAAGATTAAAAACACCTAACTTGGAGTTTTTCCCACCATACTCCCCAACCCAAGAAGGTGCCTTAGAGGCAAGGCCTGTCCTGACACAGGGTCAACAGACTTTTCCCTTCCATCCATGGGTGGTGTGTGGCAAGGATATATATTTTTCCTCCAGCTTCTATGAAAAGTCATAGCAAGTCGGGCTCGGTGGCTCAGCCTGTAATCTCGCACCTTTGGGAGGCTGAGGTGAGTGGATTGCCTGAGTCCGCAGGTTCAAGACCTGCCTGGGCAGTTTGGTAAGACCTCATCTCTACAATAAATCAAAATGAGCTGGACGTGGTAGCGCGCGCCTGTAGTTCCAGCTACTTGGAAGGCTGAGGCGGAAGGATCGCTGGAGCCCAGCAGGTCAAGGCTGCGGTGGCCGGGAACGGCCACTGCACTCCAGTCTGGGCGACAGAGTGAGACTCCAATTCAAAAAAAAAAAAGAGAAGTCCTAGCAAAGTGAAAGAATAGTACCACAAACACCAGTATACCCACCATACTTTCAAAACTGATTAACATATAGCTGGGCTCGGTAACTCAGCCTGTAATTCCAGCGCTTTGGGAGGCTGAGGTGAGTGGATTACCTGAGCCCGCGGGTTCGAGACCCACCTGGGCAACTTGGCAGACCTCATCTCTACAATAAATAAAAAATTAGCCGGGTGTGGTAGTGCGCACCTGTAGTTCCAGCTACTTGGAAGACTGAAGCAGAAGGATCACTGGAGCCCAGCCAGTCAAGATTGCAGTGGCCGGGAGCGTGCCACGGCTCCCCGTCTGGGTGACAGAGTGAGACTCCAACTCAAAAAAAAAAAGAAAAACAAAAAATCCATATAGCCATATATGGTTTCTGTATGTGTATAATCTTTTCTGTTGAACATGTGAAATGAAGTTGCAAATATCATAGCACTGTACCCTTAAATAATTTGTAATAAAACTATACTACCATTATCACTTCTACTATCACCTAATATTTGATGCATACTCAGATTACCCCTCAATTATGTTTTAGAGATTTGTTAGGTTTTAAGTCGGAGTCTCACTCTGTCACCCAGGCTGGAGTGCAGTGGCATGTAGCTCACAGCCACCGCAGCCTCGACCTGCAAGGCTCAGGTGATCCTTTCGCCTCAGCCTTCCAAGTAGCTGGGACCACAGGCATGCACCATCACTCCCCACTAATTTTTTGATTCATTGTAGTGACGAGGTCTCTCCATGTTGCTCAGGCTGGTCTCGAACTCTTTTTTTTTTTTTGAGTTGGAGTATCACTCATTCGCCCAGACTGGAGTTCAGTGACTGCTCCCAGCCACCGCAGCCTCGCCTGCTGGGCTCTGGCTAACCTTCCGCCTCAGCCTTCCGAGTAGCTGGAACTACAGGTGCGCGCTACCACGTCCAGCTGATTTTTTGATTTTATTGTAGAGACGCGATCTCACCAAGTTGCCCAGGCGGGTGTCGAACCCGCGGGCTCAGGCAATCCACTCACCTCAGCCTCCCAAAGGCGCGGGATTACAGGCTGAGCCACTGAGCCTGGCTTAATTTTTT